GTATTTAGTTTTTAGTTTAATTGACTTTTTCGGGTGAAAATTGAGTAAAAACTACAAATTAGGCAGATGCAATTTAAATAATTTTTCAAGAAGACTTCATTTTAAAATAAAAGACATTGTTATTATTATAAGTATTCATATAGTCTTCACAATTTAGGACTGTAGGACTTTTGTACAAGGTACCTTAGAAATGACAGGATTGGTTGGTACTGGCTGAAAATAAATGTAGTCTCATGGCAAGTTTAGATAAATTTGCACATGGTGAATTATATTGTGTCTGAGCTCAGCTCTAAAGAGGTGTCATAGACTTGCTGTCAAAGTGTTGGGTCAAAGAAAGAGTGGAATGCATCCTTTACTGTTTCCATTTTTAGCACTGTTAAGTGAACATAACAGTTTCCTTTTTTTAAATTATGTAGAATTACATGGAATAACCTGTTTTTCTTTACATTTGAATGTTACTGATTTCACAAAGGAGATTTGCTTAAGCATCTAGGCAATTAAGTTACACATTCTAGGACAATAGGTGAAGGAGATGAAATACAAAATCTGTATTTTAGTCATGCCTGGCAGAGGCTACAGCATAAAGCAGTTAAATCTGAGACTCTAACCAAAGGCCATAAAAATATGTGGACTATGGATACTTAAATGTATTTGATACTGCTTTTCTTGAAAGACTTTGATTAAGACTGCCTGTCTCCAAGGTGATGTCTATCAGAAGATATGTAGCTGCTCAAAACCTCTTACTTGCAGTGGTGACTACAGAGTTGATGAGGGAAATGTAAGAAAAGAAAAATTTTAGTTAAAAACATAGGTTTATAACATAACTTTTCTAAGGTCAAAATAAGATCTTTTTGATCAGAAGAATATTTTATATCATATATAGTTAATTTTTTCAAGTACTGTATAGAATGCAGTTGTGAAACATTCACCTCAAAATCTGAGCAAGTTACTAATGAAAGAAATGGCTTTTCTAGGTTCTTGGAAGATAGCAGATAGTTTTGATTCTGATAGTTTGATTCAGCTTACTGGATGTAAGCTCCAGTAGAGCAAGAGTTTTTGTCTGTTTTGTTCACTACCCTATCCTCAGTGCTGAACAGTGATGACACGTAACAGATGTTCAATAAATAGTGAATGAATGGAAGAAATCCCCTTACCATTATTTCTGGAATAGCCTTTAGTGGTAATTTTTTTTTACCAAATTTGTTACAGTGATGTATTCATTGGGTTATTTCCTTTGTTTTTATTACATATTGAGGTGAAGATATATTTATAAATTTTTAAGGCATACAAATTATAGTACATTGATTTTTACCTGTCCATACACATGATAAGTTTTAGAAAAGTTACACTATCATTACCTTCAAAATCCTTATGTCCCCTTGTCCAATCCTGTATCTTTATTTCTCCCACAGAGGTAGTAACCACTGTCCTGAATTTTATGTTTATGGTTTCCTTGTTTTTTTCTCTATTGTTTTACCACATATATGTGTGCTCCTGGTATAATACTTAGTTTTGTGTTTTTGAACTCCATATAAATTGAATCATGCCCTGCTTTTTTTTTTTTTGTATCTTGCTGTTTCTCATTCAAAATTATTACGAGATTTATTCATGATGTTGCATATAATTACAATTCATTCGTTGTTATTGCTATATACTAACCATTATGGATGTATTATATTTATAATTATAGTTGATGGATGTTTGGGTGGCTTACAGTTTCTTGGTATTACAAGCAGTGCAGCAGTGAACATTCACGTGGCATGAGTCTTTGATTATAAAGCCCAGATAATCACAACAGAGGCCACTGGGAGCAACTTCAGACTGGCTTCTGTGTCCTTGTAGCAGGACCCCAATAATCTTCAAA